CCTGCTGCCAGGAGGGGTCTGCAGGGCAGAGCTGAGCACACAGCGGGTGGGATGGGGGCTGGCAGCACTGACAGGGAGGAGATAAGGGGACACAAAAGCAGGTCCCAGCAGGGAAAACCCCAGGTATCAGAGACATGGACAGGGAGGGAAAAGGATTTGCTCCCAGAACACCATGGGAGGGGGGATTTGAGTTCCTCCCTGCCAAGTCCTTCAGTTCAGATGCCTTCCATGGAGCAACCCCCTGCTCTCCTCTCTCACTCAACACAGCCTCTGCCCTGAAGGCCATGGGGCACCTTTGCAGCAGCCTCAGCCTTGAAGAGGAAAATTTACTCAATACCTAACTGCCTGTCCCTTTCTCACTCCAGCAGTTCCAGCATTCAGGAATTTCTCCATTTTTGCTTTCCTGTATCTACTCCTCTTACTGTCATCCCTGGACTTACTGGGATGGGGGTACAGGGTTAAGCTGCATTTCTGAGCCCAACCCTGCGGGTCCTGCTGTGCAGATGTGTCCATGGGAGTAAAGTTTGCTTATAATCTGTGGGCTCAGGGGAAAATATAGGACCTAATTCTCTCTTCAGGACACCTTAATTTTAAGACACTCAACTCTTGCTCTGAGGGGCTCGTGCTGGGCTGCAGGTTTCTCTCCAGGTGGGCAGAGCTTTCCCAGGACATCTCTGTGTTATCCAGCAGCCCCAGGGAGGAAACACCTCAGTGCTAAGGCCATGGAAATGCTGCTGGGCATCTGCACACAGGCAGCTGCAATGAGCCCTCTGTGTCCCTGGCTGGGAGGGGAGAGCTGAGATCCTCCTCAGGTGTGATGAGAGGGGCTGAGGGCTTTGGAGAGCTGTGCTTGGAGACTGGATTCCTCTAGTCCCAGCAGTGTCCAGTTTCTTGTCTGGGGAAAATCTGTCTATCATCATCCAGCTCAAAGTGATGCCAACACAGAGCAGAGGAAACCAGGGTTGATGGACAGAACAACTCTCCTCACTCTGAACTGCAGGACAGACCCTTGGCCTCTCAGGACCCAGAAGTTTTCACTAGGAGTGCAGCAGAAATGCCAAGAATTTCAGCCTTAAAACCACTCCTTGTGTGGTGGTACAACTAGAACAGTCTGAACAAAAATAATCCCCAGAGGTCTGCCCTGCAGTCAGGTGAATTGTTTGCAAACATGCTGAAAACCTCTTTGGAAACATGACTGAATGTAATCTCAGATCACATGTGTTCCGATTTATCTGTGGTTGTCTGGCAGGACAGACTCCTCCAGAGATCACAGCAGAGCCCCTGCTCCATGGGGCACCCTCAGCCAACACCAACCTGAGCTCACCGGACGGACTGGCCGAAGGTCTTGGTTAAAAGGGAGAGGCAGTTGCTGAGAGATACAGAGTAGATTTTATCTCAGAGAAGTCTACCCTAACTTTTCAATGTATTTTCCTCCATGGACAGTGCCCAATGACCAGTGGAAGCAAATTTTCAATGACAGCTCCATCACCAAATTTCTCCTCCTGGCATTTGCAGACAGATGGGAGCTGCAGCTCTGCACTTCTGGCTCTTCCTGGGCATCTACCTGGCTGCCCTCCTGGGCAACGGCCTCATCATCACAGCCATCACCTGTGACCACCACCTCCACACCCCCATGTACTTCTTCCTCCTCAACCTCTCCCTCAATGACCTGGGCTCCATCTCCACCACTCTCCCCAAAGCCATGGCCAATTCCCTCTGGGACACCAGGGACATCTCCTACCTGGGATGCGCTGCACAGCTCTTTTTCTTTCTCTTCTTGATAACAGCAGAGTTTTCTCTTCTCACCATCATGGCCTATGACCGCTACGTTGCCATCTGCCAACCCCTGCACTACGGGACCCTCCTGGACAGCAGAGCTTGTGTCCACATGGCAGCAGCTGCCTGGGGCACTGGATTTCTCTATTCTCTCCTGCACACTCCCAACACATTTTCCCTACCACTCTGCCAAGGCAATTCCATAAACCAGTTCTTCTGTGAAATCCCCCAGATTCTTAAGCTTTCTTGCTCAGATTCCTACCTCAGGGAAGCTGGGCCCCTTGTGGTTAGTGCCTGTTTAGCATTTGGGTGTTTTGTTTTCATTCTTTTTTCCTATGTGCAGATTTTCAGGGCCGTGCTGAGGATCCCCTCTGAGCAGGGACGGCACAAAGCCTTTTCCACGTGCCTCCCTCACCTGGCCGTGGTCTCCCTGTTTGTCAGCACTAGCATCTTTGCCTACCTGAAACCCCCCTCCATCTCCTCCCCATCCCTGGACCTGGTGGTGTCATTTCTGTACTCGGTGGTGCCTCCAGCAGTGAACCCCCTCATCTACAGCATGAGGAACCAGGAGATCAAGGATGCCCTGAGGAAATGATAACAGAATGATTTTGTGAAAAAATAAAGTACCTGTCTTCTGTAAACCACTCATATTTTAAATCATTACATCCCAGTGCATAATCTGTAGCTTTTGTTGTTTTTTTGTTGGGGTTGGGTGGGCTTTTTGCTTTCTTTAATTTACATGGTGTTCTCTACAAAGAATTGTCATTATTTGACCTTTTTCTAATAATGCAACTATCAAGATTTTGTGTGACCTAGAGACTGTGTAAATTAGGACCTGTGCTTCCTTTCTGTTTAACAAGATAAAGGATGCTGCAGCAACATGTTTCTCTGAGATCATTCCTCCAAGGCCATCTCCCGACCTGCTGGGTTAGTGCGTGTGTGCAGAGGTGGATGGGAAAAGCACTACGGCACAGTAGTGCTTCCAAAAAACACAACCACTTGGTCTTTCCAGTGCTGCTCATTTTCCACTTCCACTTTCTGCTCCTGAGCCCTTGTATTGGTCTAAGATATGAGTGGTTTTGTGCCTTGGTCACTGTCCCATGGTGTGGCAGTCCTTTGACCGCAGGTAGGGACAGGCAGTGGTTACATCCGTGACAGAGCTGGCCTTCATGACAGCGTTTCCATCAGACAAGGGGATCTCCTCAGGGCAGTGCAGGAAGGCTCAGGTCTTCTTCCAGAGTTGCTCTCAAGACCATGCCCAGGAAATTGTCTGGGAGAGAAACCACCAGTGAAGTGTGGAAGTGTGTGCATGTGTAGGGTGGGGGCTCACAGCAGTGTTTCTTGTACAGCCAGGCTCCTGTGAGAGACCTGAAGGACCAGGAAAGCATGGGCTGGGCTGTGTCTGTGTGTGCTGGACACCCCGGGGAAGCAGCCCCAGGGCAATTGCCACAGACCAGACAATAACAACCACCATTTCCAGCATGGACCTCTTACCTCAGATCAGATAGGTTTTTCATACTTCCACAGAAGGACAACAAAGGACTAGGTCAGAAGTCCGTGTTTGTATTGTACAGACAAAGCATAAACCTGCACATCATGTGTGAGCGGTGAGATGAACCAGAGTGAGCACAAAATCCACCAGCTATTCCTGGGGTTGCCACGAAGGTCTGTGGCACAGACCATCTCTTGGGGTCACTTCACATAGAGACTGACATCCCCTGGGAAACCCCCTGAATGCAGCACTGGGAGGTGCTTCCCTGAACCATGGTCCCTGAGTCCATTCCTCATGTCTCGGGGCATCTCCCACGGGTGCAGAGAAGGGCGAGCACCGCAGGGCTGAGGTGCCTCCCAGCCTCTGGGGGTGGCAGCAGGAGTTCAGAGAGACACTATGGCTCCTGCAGTGCACTGCCTCTGCGTGTGCAAGGGAAGGACTCGTGTCTCTGAACAGCCCTGTGTGTAAGAGGAGTGCCCGAGGCCAGCTCAGCTGTGGGCACCTGACAGAGCCCTGACACTTCTGTGTGTGACTGCAGGAACAACCCCACCTTCCCAGTAGACTCATCTCAGCCTCCTTGGACATTTCATTGCAAAAGCCTCTGCTGCTCATCACCCTTCCTTGGCTGTCTGGCCCCTGCCTTCAAATGCACAGAATGAAAGAGCTGCCCTGGGGAGCATCCACCTGCGCACTCAGAAGGGGTTCTGCAATCATGAGCGACGCCCTTCAGAAGAAGGCATTTCTCACCTTTCAGAAGGCACAGAGCACATCTAGGGAGTGTGAATGCACTCAGAACACATGCCTTCATCTTTCACCTCTCTCAACTTCTTTTACAATTCTTTGAATCAACTAACAAAGAAACAAAAGTTCTTCCTTGTAGGTACCACCTCTGCTCACAGCAGTGTCAGTGCTGGTTTTGGCACTTTTTGCAGGTGCTGAGTGTTTCCCTCTGGTGGCTACATCCTAAGGACAGTACCAGGCTGTGTGCCACCCACTTCTCTCTGCAAGATTCCCAAACTGGCAGGTCTGTGCTGAGAAGGCAGCTGTATCTTGGCTAGGGGTATTGATGTCATCTGCAGTCATCATGTCATTCTTGTCCCAGATACAGTCCTGTGGCCTCCTTAGATAGTTTGACAAAATTTTTTCTACACTATCCTCATGCCCCTGATCAATACCCTCATTTACAGACTGTGAACCAGAGATATTCTGGGGGATACAAACAACACTGAGAAAAATTCTCAGGCAAGCTGTGAGCTGTAGAGACACCCCCTCAGAGTTGTGGGCCTGCAGGCAGAAATCCTTTCTGGTTGTCTGATGAACAGGACCAGAGGAGAAGGACAAGCATGTGCTCTGTCCTGGGCATTTCTGTGGAAATGTGTGATATTTAGAAGGTTTTTGGTGTGGGAAGGGACAAAGAGGTGTTGGTGGAGCTGGACAGTGTTATCATGGACTTTCTCAAACATCTCTAAAAACCCAGAGCAATCAGGGAAGTTCCTGGTCCTCAGAAATTACAAACATCGCACTTCTCTTTGAGAAGTATAAGAAAGAAGTTTGTGAGAATTACAATGGTCACCTTCACCTCAGCCCCTGGGAAGGGGGAAGGTGGTGGGACAAGTCCTCCTACAGGCCATTGAAAGAAAATAAAAAGATTATTGAAGGTGTATAGGAGGGGAATGTAGGCAGTGTTGTGTGCCTGGAATTTAACAGGGCCTTAGACATGGTCTCCTTGCAGCCAGATTGGTGCTATCTGGGCTGAAGAAGTTGATGATGGGTGGGAGTTTAGCTGGACGATCAGCCCAGATGTCATCAGTGGTACAGAGTCTTCCTGAGAACCAGTCACTAGCGGCTCCCTCAGTGACCAGCACTTGGGCCAACACTGTTGAACGTCTTTATATCTCCTTGTATGACAGGATGGAGCTCACCTTCATGTCCTTTGTGGATGATGACAATCTGGGGGAGCCTTTCAGCTACCTCATCTAGTTCACCCTGCCTTGAGAGGGAGAATCAGACAAGATAGTGCTCAGGTCTCTTCCAGCAGGACTTCTATGACACATGGGATCTTTCCATTGAAAAGCTCATTGAAGTTTAAATAGGCGGAGGAAGGAGAAAAGACAGAGAGGCACAAGTAGAATAAATAATGTGCCTGTATAAACACGGTAGCTCTTCTGAGCAATGTTTCTCCATTTCAATTATTGGTAAGAAAATTTATTGTGATAAGTGGCTGCATAAAACTATTTCTACAGAGCAAGAGAGCATATCAGTTTGATAGGACATACCCCTGGTGCTGTTAATAAAAGACTAAGTAAACTGGAAAGAATCTTCCTTAAAAACCTCACAGTGCTGGAAATGAAGACTTTCTCATCTATTATATCGAGTCTTTTATGCTGAATTAGAAGTTTTTCCAAAATATACATTCAGGACATGATTCTGCCATCCACACAGAGGTGGCCACTGCCCTGGGTAGCTGGAGCACCCGTGTGTCCCAGGACATATGGGGTCCCTTCTGGAGCAGGAGCTGGCAGGCAGGCAGAGTACCTGCGGGGTGGTGGAGGGCATCGCCTGCCTCCAGCACTGCTGGGGTGACTGAGCAGGGGCCTCTGCAGCACAGCAGCACGTGGTGTCCCCTCGGGTGCTGGCTGCCAGGTCCCTTCTGCCTGGCATTAAAATCTGCCCAATGATTCACTTGTGGGGACCTTGAGAAACTCTGGATTTGGCAATAGAAACTCATGAAGTTTACAAGTCGAAGCAGCCAGTCACTTACTGGGGAGAGAATAACCCAACAGGAGGGCAGGCTGGGACCGACCAGCCCAGGACTGACCGTCTGAGAAGAGCCTGGGTTACAAGGGATGCCATGTGAGCCAGCGGGGCATGATCAGCATAATAAGGCCAAGTGCAAACAGGGCAGAGTTAGGAGGAGCGTGGCCACCCAGAGAAGGGGATTATCATCCCCTTCAACAGTACTGGTGTGGCCACATCTGGACTAGTGTGTCTGGGGTGGGGCTCTCTGTTCTGGAGGAATGGAGGGAAATGGAAGCTTCAAACGAGATCTCTGAGGAAGGAGTTTGGGGTCTGTGGGGTGCTGAGGGACCTGGGCTTCCTCAGTCTGGTGAAGTGGAGGCTCAGGGCACTGTAGCAGTAGCCTGTGAAAGTGCTTGAAGGGCACTTTCAGTGATGATGGAGCTTTTCTTGATAGGGAAGAGAAGAAAACAAAACGCATCTTGGAAATTCAGACTGGATGTGAGAAAAGGAAATCTCACTGAAAGGGTGGCATTATTGTGTAAGATCAATCAGTGAAGTTGTGATCAGTCCGTGGCATTATTTGTCGGGAACAGCCAGCGATGGTGGAGATATCAATGAAAGTACAGAAATGCTGGGTGACATCTAGGTGGGAAAGCAAGATGGGTGCCAAGAGCCTGAAGGGAAAAACATACATGAAGGGGACAGCAGAAGAAAACCTGCAGTAGAAGTGGCCAAGGGCTCATAAAGGCTGAAAGGCCACAAAAAAACCAAGCTCTTTGTCCCTTTGGCTATGGCAGTGCCTCTGTCACTGAAGCCTGCCAGGATAAACTTATTTTCTAACTCTGAACATTGTTTCCTCCTTGTCCCTTCTTGGGGAAGCTGGGAGGTGTTGTGCAGTTTCCCTAAATGTGGCATTGCTCACCCTCACACCCCACTGCCCCCAGGAAGAGCCCTGACCCACATGTGAGGGTCATGACCTGCCTTCGCAGGGCCTGGGGGGTCAGGGCTTGGCCTTTCTGCTTCATAAAACAAACCAGGGTTTTGAGCCTTACAGCCACCTGCACAGTGCCTTTGCCTACCTGCAACCACAGCCTCCAATTATCTGCTCTAACGAGTCCATGGGGAGGCTTTGTCAGTAATGGCCCTCAGTGGGGCCAATCAATGCTTCAAGATACTTTGGGTTTTCTTCTGACTTTGATTCTTGAGTATTTTGCTCAGTCTCCACTCAGTATCTGAGGCTCATGGACTCAGGGCCAAACACACCATGGGGCTCATTAAAATACAGAATGTACTAACAAGCCATGCATTTTCCTGTTATTTTCTTGAAGTCTTCATGATTGTACAGCTAGTTGAATTAATTTTGGAATGTAGAGGAACATTTCCAAATATATCTAATAAAAATGATTCTTCATTATAAAGAGCATTTATATTAATTTCAGTTTAGAGAAGAGTGATAACAATTCTGTGTCTGATATTGATGCAGAGTGTCTCCTTGGGAGGTCTGGACAGTCCCTTGGGGTCCAACAGAATGGACAACCTTCCTCCTCATTTCCCAGTCTCAACATTTTTCACATTGGTTCTGGGACTTGCATCACTTCTCCTTACATCAGCCTTCTCCACTGATCTCTGCAGCTGGATCTTACAGGTCCTTTGCACCAGCTCCCACTGCTGTCCTTAGAGAACTGGTGCCCACAGGCACAGAAGGGTTTCTGTTCCTTGGAAACAAAGAATCTAAAGTATGATAAACTTTCATCAGCAATAAAGACTGATCCAGATGCATATGTTAAATACAAGATATCATAATGAGGTTGCCTTATGCAGGGCTACTGTCAGGAGAAATACCTTAGGTAGGTAAATACACAAAGATAGGTATAAACACAATTAAATGTTGACTAAGGAGAAATGAGGCTGTTGACAGTTTTTACTCCCTAAGTTCAAAAGAGCAACATAGGTGAGAGTTATCTGAAGGACAAAGAATAAAGAAGAAATCTGGAGATAATGGAAAGTCCTTTCCTCAGTCTGCATCTGAAAAGGTGACGTGAGAAAATGTTCATTGTATCCTGGCCAGGTGCAAATTCATGAAATATTAGAGAAATTAGTATGTGGTAAACCAGGCAGGATAGTGGCAATGAAGTTAGACTGAATATGGATATTTCTTTGGCATATGCTTTTAAGAGGCCATGGGATTGGTAGAGGCTTCTTGTGGGAGAGGACAAGCCAATGTTGCAGCCATCTTGAAAGAGCCCACAAGGGCCACCCAGGGAACCACAGGCTGTACAAGCTCTCTTTGGTGAGGAGTGTGCCGTCAGTTAGAGTCCTCTTGGGTGACGTTCCTGGGCACCTAAAAGAGAAGAAAATGTCCAAATTCAGTCGGCAGGGACTTTCCAAGGGTAAATCATGCCCTGCCAACCTGATTGCCTGCAGGATGAAGTAACTGTTTTTGTGCGTGACATAAGAACAGTGGATGTCAGGTACTCCATCAGCAAGACATGGCCATGATCTCCCTCAATATTCTCGTACCCACATTAGGCCATTACAGTCTGGGTGGGTCAACAGACAGAGAGGTGAAACACCAGTTGGAGGTCAGGCTCAGAGAGCTGTGGTGAAGGGGTCATACCCTACCTGGAGGCAGGGGAGATACTGGGGCATTGTGGGGCAGCACAGAGCTCTCCTGGGATCTGGACAATTTAACAACTCTATCCTAACCCAGAGGAGTCAATTCTGACAGTGTTTGTCAATGACAGTAAATTGAGAGGACCATTCCTGTGCCCTAGGGATGCCATTCCAATGAAACCTGGCAGATGAGAGGACTGTCCTGTCAGGAACTTCACAGGACAGAAGAAGGAAATGTCCAGGTCTTGCCCCTGGAGAGATGAAACCCTGCAGTGACAGGAGATGACGACTGCCTGGCTGGGAACAGCTCTGTGGCAAGGCTTGGTCGTGCTGGGGGTCAGAAGCAAAACATTATCCAGCAACGATCAGCACAATCCAGCATGACCTGATAGCAGCAGCAGAGTGTTTAAAGAGGAGCCCTGCCAGAAGAGTGAGGGGAGTGATTTACACTCCACTCATCACTCGTTTGACACCTATACACTGTCGTATCAATTTTGGGGCCCCCAGTGCAAGTGTGTTTGTCTGGCTGGGATGGGGTTAACTTTCATTTTGCAGCCTTATGGTGGCTTGTTTTGCATTTGAGATTAAACCAGTGTTGAGAACAGAGCAGTGTTTTGTTATTGTGGAACAATGCTTGTGCAGCATCAGGGTCTTCTTTATTTCTTACTCTTCTTCCTCCCAACAAGTAGCTGGGGATGGGCAAGAATTTGGGGGTTAGATGGGACACAGCCAGGACAGCTGACCCCAACTGACCAAAGAGATATTCATCGAATCACAGTATAATAGACCAGACCAGGTTGGAAGTGACCTCAAAAGATCTTCTGGTCCAAAGTTTTGTGGGAAAGGGAGCCTACATGATACCAGCACCCTGTCCAATTGTTTCTTGAAAACCTGCAGTGGTGGGGACTCCACCACATCCTTGGGGAGTTCCTTCCAGTGAATGACTGTCCTTAGCCCTTTGGACTGTCTCCAGTCTGCCTGTGGATTTCTTCATTGTGGGACCAGAACTGGACACAGCACTCCAGCTGTAGCCTGACAAAGCCTGAGCAGAGTGGGATGATCATGTCCCTGTGTCTGCTCGTAACGCCCCTGTGGATGCAGCCCAGGAGCCTATTTGCTGTTGTTGCTGCAGCGGGGCACTGCCGGAGCCTCTTCAGCTTGCTGTCCACCAGGAACCCCCAGGTTCCTCTCAGCAGGGCTGCTCCCCAACCACACACCTCCTGGCCTCTACTGGGCTCTTGGTTGCTCTGACTCAGGTGCAGGACTTTTGACTTGTCTTTGTCTTGTGGTTCATATTGTTCTTGCTGGCCCATTCGTCCAGCCTGTGCAGGTCTCTCTGTAAGATGACTCTCCCTTCTGGCATGTCCACCTCACCACCCAGCTTAACGTCATTAGCAAACTTGCTGAGGGTGTTTTCAATCCAACATCCAGATCATTTATGAAGATGTTGAACAGCATGGGACCCGGTACCAATCCTGGGGGGATCCAATGTGCTACAGGCTTCCAGCCTAAGTAAAAGCATTGATCACCACCCTCTGAGTGCAGCCTCTGAGCCAATTTCCTACCCATCTCTCACACCAACGCTTCAATCTCTGTCTTGCACTTTGTCCAGGAGAAGGATGTAGGAA